AAGAGAAGTTGATAATTTTTTTATAAAGCTAAACATAAGCTTACCATAAAATCTGGCAATCACATTCTAGGTATTTACCCAAATAATTTGAAAACTTAGGTTCATACCATGAATGTTTGTAACAGCTTTACTCATAATTGTCACATGTTAGAAGTAATTAAGACATCTTTTAATAAGTTAATAGATAAGCATACTGTGGTGTCACGAGCCATCCATGGGCTCTGTATGTGACCTATTGTAAATCATAGCCATATGAGGGGATAGGCCTGACATTGCAGGCTTCCTGTCAGGGAGAAATTGCATGATGCAGGTGTGCCTTCCCCTCAAGCTCTTCCTAAGATCCCACACAGCACCTGAGATGGGTGTGACTTGCCAAGATGTCAATCAATCTGCTGACCACAAGACATGAGGAAGCAAGACTCCACCTTTGAAACCTTATCCCCTTCCTTATTTGGTGAAGAACTGTAGGGCATGTCACATCAGAGAAATAGAAACCTATGATGGAGAAAAGGAAACCTAACTTGCAGACTGATGCTCTCTTCCTGGTCTTGGAGCTGCACATGGCTAAGATGGCGCATGGCAATCAGCCAGAAGGCATTACCGTGGGTTGTGATGAAAAATCAGACCACCTCTAGGATAGGCTCAGAACCCCTCCACCCTCGTGGACAGCTCGTGTCTCCCCTTACTGCCTGTAGAATGGGTGTACACATGAACTCTCCTCACCCTGCTGACCTTTATCCTGATTGGCTCATGTGCCTTATATTAGCTGTGTGTGTTTTCTCAACAAACTGAGATCCTGCTTTGACTGGTTTCCCTGAGGCCTCTGATTGTCCTCCAGCGAGGGAGGGCTGATTCCGTGGGCGGCCAGTCGGCCCTTTCCTTTCTTGGCTTGTCCTGGCTGGAGTGTTTTCTCCCTATCTCTCCTGCAGGATGGGAGTGAACGAGGACTAAAAACCCCGACAAAGAACATTCTATCCAAACTTCTTTGTTAGTCCCCTTATAAAAATAGAAATTCTTTGTGTATGGTGAGAGATAGGGGTTTAACTTTATTTTGTTGCATAATGATATCCAGTTTTACTAGCACCATTTTTTTTTCATACATATTTTTTCTCCAGTGCATGTTCTTGGCACCTTTGTAGATAATTGTAGTTTTGTGGTTTAGTCTCTGTGTCCTCTATTCTGTACCATTGGTCTACCAGTCTGTTTGGGTGCCAATACCATGCTGTTTTTGTTACCATTGCTCTGTAGTATAGCTTAAGGGCTGGTATAGTGATGCCACCTGCTAAGGATTGTTTTAGCTATTCTGGGTCTCTTATTTTTCCAGATAAATTTTTCCAATTTTATGATTGCTTTTTCTATTTCTATGAGGCATGTCACTGGAATTTTGATCAGAATTGCATTAAATCTGTATAGTGATTTTGGTAGGATGGTCATTTTGATAATATTAATTCTACCTATTAAAGAGCAAGGTAGATCTTTCCATCTTCTAAGGTCTTCTTTGATTTCTTTCTTTAGGGTTCTGTAAACCCCTATCTCTCACCATGCAAAAAACTCAACTCAAAATGGATCAAGGACTTAGGAATACAACAAGAGACCCTGTGTCTAATAGAAAAAAAAAATAGGCCCTAATCTCCATCATGTGGGATTAGGCTCCAACTTTCTTAATAAGACTCCTGTGGCACAAGAATTGAAATCAAGAATCAATAAATGGGATGGACTCAAACTAAAAAGCTTTCTTCTCAGCAAAAGAAACAATCTGTGAGGTGAATTGAGAGCCTACATCTTGGGAGCAAATCTTTATCCCTCACACATTAGATAGAGCACTAATCTCTAGGATATGTAAAGAACTCAAAAAACTAACACCAAAAAAACAAATAACCCAATCAATAAATGGCTGAAGAGACACTTCTCAGAAGATAATGTACAATCAACAAATATATGAAAAAAATGTTCATTATCACTTTCAATTACAGAAATGCAAATTAAAACCACTCTAGGGTTTCATCTCAATCCAGTCAGAATGGCAGCTATTATGCATGCATACAAACAACAATAAGTGTTGGGTACCATGTAGGGAAAAAGGTACACTCATGCACTGCTGCTGGGACTGCAAATCCAAATCGGTGCAGCCAATGTGGAAAGCAGTATGGAGATTTCTTGGAAAATTGGGAATGGAACCACCATTTGACCCAGCTGTTCCCCTCCTCGGTCTATACACAAAGGACTTAAAAACAGCATACTACAGGGACACAGCCACATCAATGTTTATAGCAGCACAATTCACAATAACTAAACTGTGGAGCCAACCTAGATGTCCTTCAATAGATGAATGGATAAAAAAAAAGTGTGGCATATATATACAATGGAATATTACTCAGCAATAAAAGAGAATAAAATCATGGCATTTGCAGGTAAATGGATGGAGTTAGAGAAGATTATGCTAAGTGAAAATAGCCAATCACAAAAAAAAAACAAATGCCAAATGTTTTCTTTGATATAAGGAGATTCATGGTGGGATAGGGAGCAGAAGCATGGAAGGAACAGACAAACTCTACATAGGTCAAAGGGGTTGGAGGGGAAGGGAGGGTGCATGGGGTAATTAATGATGGTGGAATGTGATGATTATTACTATCCAAAGTACAGGTATGAAGACACAAATTGGTGTGAATTTACTATGTATACAACCAGAGATATGAAAACTTATGCTCTATATATGTAATAAAAATTGTAATGCATTCTGTTGTCATATATAAATAAAAAATTTACATTAAAAATAGAAATAAAAATAAAAATAAAAATGAAGAGATTCTATATGCATGCTCTCATTCCAGCGCTCCTTTTCTAGTGTGGGAGCTGGCCCTTGAGGTCAAAGAGCTGTCTTACCCTCAGTATGCAAATTACTTCTGTGCCCTGTGCTTTTTTGCCATTTTCTTAGCTTAATGTTGCATGCAGCTCTTTTAAACGCAGTTCATCTCATCTGCGTGGGTCACTGGCAAGACTATGGTACATCCAATGAAATATTACTCAGCTCTGAAAGGAAGTAAATCCTTAAGCTACTGAAACACATAGAGAAATCCTTATTTTTTTAATTTATTTTGAGACAGGGTCTTACTAAATTGCTGAGACTGACTTCAAACTTGCAATTCTTCTGCCTCAACCTCCCAATTACTGGGATTATAGGTATGTGCCACCATACTCAGTACTAGAGGAATCCTAAATTAGAGAAATGATAAGTGAAAGAAACCAATATAAAAGGACAGCAGAGTATGAAATTCCAATTATATGACATTCTGGTAAATATAAAACTTACAGTAAGTGGAAAGAACTGAGAATTCTAAGGGTTGGTGTGAAGAGTAGAGGGATGAAGACGCAGCATGTGGGGAATGTTGTTGGAATGATGGATACAGGACATTACGCATTTGTCAAAGCCTGTAGAATGTACAATGTGAAGTGTGAAGCTTAATGTAAACTAGAGACTTTAGTAAATAATAATGTACTAGATGTAATTAATTTCATTTTAACAAATGTGTGAGTGTGCTGAATAGAGAAGATTTAAATGGAAACCCTCTTTACTCACTGGGTAATTTTTCTGTAACCTCAACTTCTCTAAAAAGTAATGTCTATTAATATTGGAAGCCTGAAAGAAAAGTCCATCTTATGTTTTGAGGAGTAAATGAAATAATGTTGTGCAAATTACTGAACTTGATGCCTTGCAAATATTTCAGGGTAGGCAGCCTAAGAAACCACTCCACATTTTAATAATCACCCCAGAAGGTAGTCTTAGACTTTAAAAATCTTCCTCAAATGCATATTTACCAATTCCTACCAACAAAGGAAGCTGTGTTTCTTAGAAAAATTAAAGAAAATCCCCTAAAGGCATTTTGATTATTAGATATAAAGCACATTTCAAATTTCAAAAGCTGAGATTTTTTTTCTTCAGGTCAAATTTGTCTTCATGACACACTTTCACTAATTGTTTTTTCAGTGGTCCAGCTGTGTCACACATATGGTGATCCTTCCTAGAGCTAACAGCACTTCATCCCAAAAAGAAAAAAAGAAAAAAAAAACTACATTTATTTTGCACTTACCAAAATTTTATCTCCAACAACAGTGTAATTCTTGGAAAGAAAGCATCTAAGAGATTCATTGAATGAACCTTCTTTTCAAATAAGATCATAGGCAAATGGAATATGGGCGTAATCAATTATATTCTTGCAACATTATATTGATCCCGCTTTTTAGGATTTGTTAGCATTGTTCAGATGTGTTAGAAAGACAGTTAAATTGGACTTTTCATTTTATTTTGTTTTATCTTATTTTAGTGGTTTTAGAGTTTGAATCCAGAGGCCCTCTACCACTAAGCTAAATCCCCAGAACTTTTTATTTAATTTATTGCTTTATATTTTCCATTTGTGCTTACTTTTTTTCAATTAAGTGATTTTTATTGTCATATATTTTAATTTTTTTTTTGTCAAGATCTCGCTAAATTGTCTACAGTAGCCTTGAACTTGAAATCCTCCTACCTTAGCCTCCCAAGTTGCTCAGATTACAGACATGTGTACTGAACATGGGTAGAATTAGATATTTTAGAAAAATAAATGTCAGTCAATATTGCATGTAGTATGTGATCAACAAAGTCATTTGTTAATCAAAGACTGAACTTAAAAAAAATATTTATCCGTTAGTTATTTAGACCCTATAAAGATTTTTTTAAATGAAGAAATAATGTTTTCAAAAAACTAAAGTCTAAAGAGTATAGAAGGAAGCAAAAATTAACAGACTGTAAAATTGTATTTTATTTTTTCTTCTCTTGGTACAGCTTGCTATTTAAGGAATTTGTATTTAGTGTCACCATATTTTGGATGTTAAGTATGGGGATACTTATTGCTATAAGTATAATTAGGTATACATGAGCCCTGGAAGCAATTATTTCATTCAGAAGAGAGTACCTGGCCACACAGTTAAGAACAAAAGAAACTTCAGAATTGAGTATTGAGTACCTGGATTATCTACCATCATCTGTCTTCTTCATGTGATAAGTATGACCTTAGTTCAATCTTCTTTCCAGGGATGAGCTCTGTTCTTCGGAGGGAGTCCTCCCTGGATGTTTAAATTAACATTTACAATATCCTTCAAGAAAAAAAAAAGTCAGATTCTTAGGATGAACAGGAAATAGAACAATTCCTGAAATTCAGAACAAAGAAAAAATTGCCACAACAATTCCAATAAGAGTGCATGAACTTTTATTCATGAAAATCATCCTAGGTAAACAAGGCAAAAATATTCTTAGAGATGCTAAAGTAATTTAGTTTTAGTTTAAGAAATGGATGGCATTGGAGAAGATAATGCTAAGTGAAGTCAGCCAATCCAAAAAAAAAAAAAATGCTGAATGTTCTGTCTGATATAAGGAGGCTGACTCACAGTGGGGGTAGGGAGGAGGAACATGGGAGAAATAGAAGAATTCTAGATAGGGAAGAGGGGTGGGAGGGAAAGGAAGGGGGAAGGGGATTAGCAAGGACGGTGGAATGTGATGGTCATTATACAAAGTACATGTATGAAGACTCGAATTGGGTGTCAACATACCTTATATGCAAACAGAGATATGAAAAAATGTGGTATATATGTGTATTAAGAATTGTAATGCAAAAGAAAAGTACATGTATAATGGCATAAATTGACGTGAACATACTTTATATACAGAGATACAAAAAATTGTGTTCTATATGTGTAATAAGAATTGTAATGCATTCCACTGTGGTCATGTATTTTAAAAAATAATAATAATAAAATTTTAAAAAAGAAATTATATGTGGAGCCAGAATTAAGTGGTAGGTGTAGTTTTCTGATGTAGCTTTCTCATGATCTAGCTTAGCTCATATTTGGATTTAAGAGAATTAGAGTATCTCTAAGAGTATCTCAAATTGAAGACTATAATCCCTTTTTCATCCTTCCTTTCTTTTTTTCTTTTTTGGTGTGTGTAAGTGGTTTGGGGGGGGGTTTGTTTTTGAAGTAGATGAGGAAAAGGTCAGTCGTTATTCTTGCACATTTTAGAATTTAAGAAAAACTATGGTCTCTCGATTTTTTAAGATGATTTCAGGAATCTCTGAAATATCCATGAACCTTCAAAGAAACCACAACCCCAAATTTTGTATAACATATTCTTCAAGTAATTTATATCTACTAATATATACACAGTTGTGTACATGTTTATGTATGTGTGTGTTTACATGCATCTATGTGTGTGTGTGTGTGTGTGTTTACAAACACACTACTGTTTCTCAATTGGGATTATAGAAGTAATAGCTTTCTATGAACTCGAGATTCCTGAGTCACAAACACCTAGTCCATCCTGAACTCTTAAAGTTGTCGACTTCACAACATGGTGAATATGTGAATATTCAACCTCATGCATAAGCAACTAGTTGAGGTTGTTGGAGTCTGTAATGAACAAAAGTAGAGCTTGTATAGAATTATAAGGTAAACTGGCATCTGAACAAACTTGATAATGACCTAGTTTTCTTCAACTTCAAAAAAGTATTTTGCATTAAAGTTGAACATATCTACATTTATTTCCGTACATACAAGATTATGGGTAACATTTTCCGTCACTTATTTGAGGGAATGTTAAAGTGTACTAATTTGTTGGAACATGACATATACTTACTTTCAGTCTACTCAATTACCATCCATGGATACATTTTTCTCCTTGAAAGGTTGGGAATTAGCCAAAGTGGTACTGGAACAGCATGCATACTGGACATAAAAACAAAGTTTTGGTCTAAATTATTGGGTTTTTTTTTTTTTCTGTTGCTGGAAAATGATTTATAATATGCTCCCATGGCCCAGTTCCTGGAAAAAATGTAAACAAAAACTGTGATACACAAACAGTTGAAAAAACAAAAGATTTCTATATCCTGGAGCCTATTTATCAAAAAAGTATCCCATGTTTAATTTTTACAAATAACATAGAAAAAGAGTAGGAGAAATTACAATGTATTAATTTGCATATATTACCAAATATTTTTATTGTATTAAGCCTAATAATCTCCAAGAATAATTTTTAATTAAAGTTATTAAGGTTTCTGCAACAATACCATCATAATTACTGAGTAAATATTTTTATCCAAAAAGAAGCTGATATTCTAGACAAACTGATGGATGCCTAGCACTTTCTTCTTCCTATTACACAGATTGGAAAATTATAGCAAACAATGTGCATATGGCCCAACTTCTTTTTTTGTAGGAACAATGGAATTAGATCTTTATACTCTTTTTTAAGTATAAAAAATGTTTTATAACATGAAATTTATGTGAAATTCAAATATTCTCTGTAAATAAAGTTTTTTAGAATCACAGTCACATGCTTTATAGGTATGCTTTCATACAACATAGAATTTTTAATAAAAAACAAAATCCACAAAGCCTAAAGTATTTGCCTGTCCCTTTACAAAAAAAAAAAAAATGTTTGTAGATTCTTCTTCATATCAGTTTTTGCTAATCCATTTGAATTCACCTGAAATTGTTTTCATTTTTCACAATTCTCAAATCTCCCTGCTTAAGAATTCTTTACTGATCTTCTTACTCTTTTCTCATTTCCCTTTGTTCCCATCACTCTTGAATTTTCAGTATTTGGGTGTCTCAGATGCTGAGACATATGCCTTGTTTAATAAACAATCATGTTAATGTATTTGATGTGAATCTTTTATATGTGTTGTTGCATTGTTTTGAATATATATTCATATTTATGTAATTAAACTTTATAACAATGAGTTTCCCTTGTCAGTATTTTTGACTCCCCCATTTTATTTACACCTAAAAGATCATTATTTTTAATTTCTTTATAGTTCTTTCTAACAAGCATTTTTGTTTATCATATTTTTATCTATCCATTCTACACTAACAACCCAAGTTGCTTCCAGCTCCTAGCCCCATAAATAGAACTGGAAGAAATATCCTTTGCACAAGGCCTTTGTAAATTAAAGTGATAACTTATTTGGTTTATGTCCTTGGAGGAAAACTTCTATTTTCATAGGCTCTAGTTACACTAAATTTGTTCAGGCACCAACAATTTAGCCTCAGTAATGACTACACTGGTGTGTACTCCTACCAGCAGTAAATGAGAATCCCAATAGGAAGGATTTACTTTCTTGAATAAACACAAAGCAGAGGCTATAGTGTTTTGTGTTGAGATAATACTGTATTGTGTTGCAGTATGTTGATTTACAATTTTCACAAAGCTGACATTATTTTTATATATTTATATATCACTCAGTGTGTGCACATATGTATTTATTATGTGCAAAATTTATCAGCAACAGATCTTCCCAATACAGGAATTCCATTGTATTTCAATACTTGTCTAGAGCTTTAAACTGATAAACAATGTGCCAAATAGAAATAAAATATATATGTCACCTATCAATATGGATTAAGGATGCAGATGAAATTAAAGTTGTCAGTCAACTGATCTTAAATGATGGATATGAAGCAGGATTATCTGGGTGAGCCCAGTGTAATCACAAGTGTCTTTACAAATGGAAGATGAAGTCAGGAGAGTCAGAGTCATGGAAGTTATGATGATGGAGTCAATGGCAAAAAAAAAAGTATGATAAAGTTTCAGCCATCCATCCTTGGCTTTGAAGATAAATGGGCCACACAACAAGGAATAAACTCAAACTTTAGAAAGTGGGAAAGGCACAAAAACATATTGTGCCCATCATATTTAGAAAGATCTGTGGAGGAGCCTCTTGACTAATGGAATAAATTTCTATAAAATATACAGAAGATCCAGAATGCTTTGGCAATGCTGTAACAGCAGAAACAGACAGCTTGCACTGAAAGGATCAGAGAAAGGTTGAAATGAGAAAAGGCTGCTTCCCATAGGCCGGGATACAGGATAATGAAACTACTCAGCCACAATCATGCACTGCCCTTCATGCCTTGCTAACAAAATAAGTCTTTCCTCAGAGGACAAAGCCAAGGTCCCTGCAGGAATCTCCTTGGGCCCAGAAGAAGAGCTTTGAGTCACTGAGTGTTGTTCCAGGTTTTAAAATCTTATAAAGTTTTCCCTGTTAGGTCTTAAAGATTGCTGAGAACTCTGTTTCCCCTTCCAATTTCTCCTTTTCAAATGAGAATATCTATATATGGTATCCTATAGTAGTTACTGATTTGTGTTTTGGATATAACTTATTTTCATAGGTCTAACGATGAAGAGGAATTTTGCCTCAGGAAGATTCATCCAGAGTAACTTCTATATCTGATTTATTTTATTTAGGTGATGAGATTTGAGGCTTTTCAACTGAAATTAAGATGAGATTTTAGACTTAGAGTTGATGCTATAATAAGTTGAGACGTTTGGAATGTCATAAATTTATTTTTGTCTGTGAGATGGATATGAATTTTTGTGAGCCATTTGACAGATTATATAATGAGCTAAATAATAGCCACACCATGTCCTTATCTGAATTCTCAGACTTTGTGAATATGTTATCCTACATGGTTAAAGAACCTTTGCAGATATGATTAAGTTAAAAATTATGAGATTAGAATTATTCTGAACTAATTTTATAGTTAAAATTATAGTTAATATATTCAAAAGAGTTTATATGAAGGAGGTAGGAGAATCAGAGAAATGAAAGGAAATAATGGAAGGAGGAGGGTGGTGAGATTAAAGGAAGGGATTATGAACCACGGAAATTGAGTGATCTTTAGAAATTAACTTATTAAACAAGTTAAGAAAACTGATTCTTTTCATTTTCAGATCCTTCAGAAAGAAACACAGACCTGATAATACTTTATTTAAGCTCAGTGAAATGTATTTTAAATGTATGACCCACAGAATTAAAAATAAGAAACTTGTTTTGTTTAATATCACTAAATGGGCAATTTGTTACCACAGCAAGAGCCAGCTATACAAAGATGGAGTTTATGGTTGTTGGTTTTGGATGCTATAAAAATCTCTTGGATTTCCCCTGAATGAACTGTCTAAAATGGGGGATTACTTGGAGATATCCTGATTTTTCACTTGAAAAGTGCTTTAAGTAGGCTCAAATGCAAGCTCAGCTATTATAAAGCTTTCGAGTTGATATGTGTTTCCAACCCTGTGCTGTAAATCATAAGTGAAAGCTGGCAGAGACACCTTAGCATCTGGGAAATGCTACAAATTGTGATAATCTTATAAAAGGTATAGATGGTAAATTTCTGAAGAAATGCTAACATAATCTTATAATCTTAAGAGTCTGACATCTAAAAGAGTTCCTGGAAACCAGTAGTCAACAATATTTATTGAGTATATGTGTGATTGCATCACCTGCTCTTCCCAGAAACATTAGCCGGTTCTTAGCTTTAAGTTTGTGTCCACTGAGCATCCTCTTATCAGCAATGGCCTTCCTTCTCTGCTCAACTCCTTACTATCCATCCTTTCATTGATTTGCAAACACCTTTATATCATCTCAGCTATCATCTCTGTGGAACCGTTTTCTACTTCCCTTTGTGTAACCATGATATCTGATGTGTATCTTTATAATAATAATAGTAGTTATTATTATTATCAATTCCTGTGTTTATCTCCTTGAACACAAGGTGACCTCCTCCCAGTGGGTAATATTAAGGTCTATATCTATAGCAACTATGCATGATGGGTGGAACTCAGAGATTTTTGAATATGTAGATGAATGAATAAATTACTATGTGAAGGAAGTATATATGAATATATATATATATATATATATATATATATATATATATAGTATGTATGTACATATATATTATATAAACACATAAGATATATATATTATGTGTATGTGTGTGTATATATATGCACACACATACAAATAATCTTATATATGATTGAAGGAAGCTTATTTCTTGATTCTTCCCTTAATTATTTGCTTCCTATTCACTATTATGGCTATTTAAATGATTCTTTTTTTTCCCCAAAATCCATTGTGTGTGTGTGTATGTGTGTGTGTGTGTGTGTGTGTTGCTGGGGATTAAACCTAAGGCCTTACACTTCACTCTGTGGTAGAGTTACAACACAGCCCTAATTAAATGTTTCTAATGAGTTATTCTCTTGAATATAAAATGGCTCAGGAATCCAGTAAAGTAAGTTCTTTTAATGCCTTTGTGAGTTTTTAAAAATTACTTGGCCTATTAAAATGTGTATTTCTCATCTGGATAAAATAAAATAAAAACAATAGCAGATTTATATTAGATAATGTGTAAATGCTGTTTCTGATTTTCTTTTCTTTTTTTATTTTTTTTATTGGTTGTTCAAAACATTATAAAGCTCTTGACATATCATATTTCATACATTAGATTCAAGTTGGTTATGAACTCCCAATTTTACCCCAAATACAGATTGCAGAATCACATCGGTTACACATCCACATTTTTACATAATGCCCTATTAGTAACTGTTGTATTCTGCTAAATCCTTGGTGTGTTTAAATCATGGGCCCTACGGGTGGACCAGTGGTACAGAATAGATGACACAGAGACCAATCCACAAAATTACAACTATCTTATTTTTGACAAAGGGGCTAAAAGCATGCAATGGAGGAAGGATAGCATCTTCAACAAATGGTGCTGGGAAAACTGGAAATCCATAGGCAACAAAATGAATCTGAATCCCTTTCTCTCGCCATGCACAAAAGTTAACTCAAAATGGATCAAGGAGCTTGATATCAAATCAGAGACACAGTGTCTGATAGAAGAAAAAGTTGGCTATGATCTACATACTGTGGGGTCGGGCTCCAAATTCCTTAATAGGACACCCATAGCACAAGAGCTAAAAACAAGAATCAACAAATGGGACTCACTCAAACTAAAAAGTTTTTTCTCAGCAAGAGAAACAATAAGAGAGGTAAATAGGGAGCCTACATCATGGGAACAAATTTTTACTCCTCACACTTCAGATAGAGCACTAATATCCAGAGTATACAAAGAACTCAAAAAATTAAGCAATAAAAAAAAAATTACTCAATCAATAAATGGGCCAAGGATCTGAACAGACACTTCTCAGAGGAGGACATACAATCAATCAACAAGTACATGAAAAAATGCTCACCATCTCTAGCAGTCAGAGAAATACAAATCAAAACCACCCTAAGATACCATCTCTCCAGTAAGATTGGCAGCCATTATGAAGTCAAACAACAACAAGTGCTGGTGAGGATGTGGGGAAAAGGGTACACTTGTACATTGCTGATGGGACTGCAAATTGGTGCGGCCAATTTGGAAAGCAGTATGGAGATTCCTTGGAAAGCTGGGAATGGAACCACCATTTGACCCAGCTATTCCTCTTCTGGGACTATTCCCTAAAGACCTTAAAAGAGTGTACTATAGGGATACTGCTACATCCATGTTCATAGCATCACAATTCACAATAGCTAGACTGTGGAACCAATAGATGAATGGATAAAAAAATGTGGCATTTATACACAATGGAGTATTACTCAGCACTAAAAAATGATGGGAGGGGAGGGGAAGAGAGGGGAGGGGGGATAGTAGAGGATAAGAAAGGCAGCAGAATACAACAGACACTAGTATGGCAGTATGTAAAAACGTGGATGTGTAACCGATGTGATTCTGCAATCTTTATAGGAGGGAAAATGGAGTTCATAACCCACTTGAATCAAATGTATGAAATATGATATGTCAAGAGCTATGTAATGTTTTGAACAACTAATAATAAAAAATAATAATAATATGCTATCTACTTTTAAAAATAAATCATTTTAATCACATTGTTCTCATAAAAATATTAGATGAATTTAGTAATATAAAATGTTACTTAAATATGGTAATAATTCTTCCTGAGCACAAGAAATATGTATTGTATTACTAATAAAAACAGAACCAATATGAAAAAAAATCATGGGCCCTAGAACTAATCCTAGAAACATGTTTCTGCAGTCTTGATGATCGGAACTTATTAAACCAATAAGAATTCAGTACTGACATAAGTAAAAGAGAAGCTACCCACTGATGTTTCTGGCTTTTTTGTTGCAAACCTCTTCAGATATAGCTAGTATCCTAAACCAACTACATGTCATATTTTTGTGAAATAAGACAATGTTTACTCAGCATGTACACCTGAGACCATGCTGCAATGATTTCATAATCTGTTACAGTGTCCTTACAGTCTCCATAGTCAGAAACTCCACAGAAACCCCTGGATAGTCATAACCAGATTTCCAAATTTCCATATTTTCTCTTTTCAATATACCAAAATTCATTATTCTTTATTATGGACCACTGGGTTAACACATGGATGATTTTATGTAAATGATTCTTGATTTTAATTCTTGCACCAAAGGAGTCACATTAAGAAAGTTGGGGCCTAATCTGACATGATGATATTTTTAGAACAAAAACTTTTTTCATGCATTTTTTTGAAACATTGAATATTTTCTTAGGAGATATAAAATGAGTTCTTATATTAATGAAGTTTTACTTTAAACTTGATAAAATATTCAAGATCTTTTTTTCATCTTTTTCTCCAAGTCTGGAAGAAATAACAGATACAAAGTTTCAGCACCTTTCATTTGTGCCAGCCTCAGAATCTCATTTTCAGACTTTCCAGGAGCTATATGTTACATCAGTTTTGAAATCTTGAAATATTTAAGATGGATTGATTATTGATATGTACTATTTGGTATTAATAATGATAGCTATCATTATTATCTTGACATAAAATATAATGTTTTATTTTTACAAAAATAAAATAAGATATAAATTTGTAATTATAACTTTTAGAATATTTAACATTAGCAACCACACAGCACCAGCTGATCAGTAAAGGCCAGATCAGTGATAGTAGGGACTTTCAGATGGGAGGCCCGAGTCACAAGGTGTACAGAATCACTTTTAACCAAATATTATCCTATTTCATAGAGTGGCATGAGAATAAATCTCCTCCATTCTTATTTTTACTGTAATCATAATCCTAATTCATGTGCCTATTTCTCTAAATGGACACTTTATCAAAAACAATGTGGATCTTCTACAACCAATCCGAGGAATGCTTGACTTGAAAAAAAAAACTTTTTTGAAAGCCACTTTTCAAAAAAGGAATTAAGATTTCTCATTTATTATGGACAACATTTTATGATTGGTAAGCAGAATTCTCCAAACAAAATTCTGAATCTCAAATTATTTTGCTAAGATTCTTTGTCCAAAGCTAATGAGAAATTTGACAAAATGAAGCAACAAAAATTTACCTTTTCGGGGCTGGGGATTTGGCTCAAGCGGTAGCGCGCTTGCCTGGCTTGCGTGCGGCCCGGGTTCGATCCTCAGCACCACATACAAACAAAGATGTTGTGTCTGACGAAAACTAAAAAAATAAATAAATATTAAAATTCTCTCTCTCTCTCTCTCTCTCTCTCTCTCTCCCTCTCTCTTTCTCTTTAAAAAATTTACCTTTTCCCTATCTTTTAGTTCTCTCCTTATGTAGTTCTTTCCCATTTCCCCATATCTTTCCAATCTATCTTCTAAACTTCATTACATTTCTCCCTCCATCTTCCTTTTCCCAGATATCCTACCTTTACTCCTTTCCTAAATTCCCACATAATATAGTTGCCTCTAACTGTTTACCTCTTATGTGAACTGGGTTTTCCAGAAAATTGAATTCTGAATTTCAACTACTACTGAACATATATAAACTGAAACTGAACTTCAGTGAAATAAGAGCTAAACTCAGAGAATTCCATAACCCCAGGCAAGATGATTATGAAAGAAACGGAATTCTTTTGAATGTTGTGACCCAAAGTTACCTGCCCTTTTCTAACTTGTGCACATGATTAGTTGGACCAAGAATGCTAAATTCTGAGTTTTAGGCCTTCTCTTCTTTCTTCCATGAAGCTTTCATTCAATATCATTATTTAGTCTCCGGGTATTGGGGTAACTTCCATTTTTTATTTTATTATTGATTTCTAATTTCATTCTATTATGATCTGATATCAATAAGAAGATAAATATTCTGAAAACAACAAACAAACAAACAGAAATCATTGAAATGAAAGAAACAATAAAACAAATTAAAAACTAAATAGAAAATATTCCCAACAGATTAGATCACTTGGAAGACAGAACCTCAGACAATGAAGTCAAAATATATAATCTTGAAAATGAAGCTGACCAACACAGTAAAGATGGTAAGAAACCATGAGCAAAATATCCAAGAATTATGGGAAAACATAAAAAGACCAAATTTAAAAAAAAAATTATTGGGATAGTAGAGGGCATAGAGTTATAAACCAAGGAATGAATAATGTATTCAATGAAATAACATCAGAAATCTCTCTCTAGAGGTCTTGTGGGCTGCACTCTTGGGTCTGCGCACCTGTAGTGGAAAGCTAATTTCTATCAGGAAGATCAGAACCAGGCTTTGTGAGCTAGGGACTAGCCACATAATTACAAGCACTGTGCCTGGTTAGTTGCTGTAGGGGAGAAGGGAGAGTTGCAGGACTATAGGTAACTTGATATTGCTTCTAGGTCCCAGCTAATGTCCCAAGCTGGAAGTTGCCCCAACTAAAGATGGTGATGATGATTGCAAGGATAACCTAAGATGGTGAAAAAGGTGTCCCTAGATGGAGGCAGCCACTTTCAGAGATTGAGTGTCAGGTGGGCCAGGCGGTGGCATTGGGCAGTGTGTTCAGAGATGCAGCTCTATGGCGTGCAATGTTGTGGCAGGCCACTCTCTCTAGACCCTGTCCATTGTCCCCAGGTGTAGGCTTCTGCATGATGGGGGCTGTGGCAGCAGTTGCAATGTCTCAAGATGGAGTTGACCATAGCAGCCCAATGTTGGTAGATGGGAGTCCACATGAGCGCAGCGACCTGGTTCCTACACAGGAGTGGTGGCTGGAGGTCCTGTGTGAGAGCAGTAGCTGGGGATCCTGCACAGGTGGGCAGTCAGGGCGTCCTGTGTGTGTGTGCTGATGCGGGGGTCCTGCACAGATGCTGAGGCCAAAGGACCTGTGCAGACACAGAGGGTAGGATTCCTGCATGGGAGCAGCTGTTGGGAGTTCACTAATAACTCACAGAGAAACAGTATTCTCATTGCTTGAATCCCAAGTCACAGAGCAACAAGGAATGCAGCCTCCCTTTTGTCGGCTATCTTGGATCTCTCTCCTGCTCTTCATTCTTAAGGTAGGTAACTATAGATCTTAAACACAACAGCTAGGATCCTAGTGTAGCTACAATACTTCTAAACTTAACTCATGAGGAACTTCTGTTCCCTCATGATTTCTATGGTTTCAGTCATTTCCCTTCTTTGGGCACAGATATTCTATCTGTAAACAAGAAAGTTAAACTGTGTTGCTGTGAGAACTTCTGATATAAGAAAAATTACAATAAAATGTATATGGTCAGCTGCTTCTTGGTATTTTCTGAGGATACATTCCAAAAAATCCACAGGTGCTCAACTATCTTATAAAAATGATGTGGTATATGTATAAAATCTATATACATTTTTCCTTACATTTTAAATAATTTATTTATTACTTGTATACCTAATACTGTGTAAATGTGTCTTATACTATATTGTTTAGAGAGTAATGATAAGAAAATACTCTATTCATGTTGAATACAGATGCAATTTTTTCCCAAATATATTTCATTTGTGGTTGGTCAAATCCAAAGATGCAGAATCTGTAGATTCAGAGCCCACTGTATATCTATAACATGACATGAAATTAGATCTGAGTAGTTCTGTAGATACTGTTCTTTAAGGATACATTTATGACTTTAAATGTAGTCATTCTGAGACAACCATACTGTGCTTAACATGAATGGGTATATCAGAGAGAAAAAATAAAATGAAGTTTTTGTATGTCCCTTTCCATCTCAGAAAGAAAAGTAATTGGCAGTCCAATTATTTTAATATTGAAAGTTTCAGTAGTGTACAAAACCTTCACTAGAATTGTTAAAATTAATGGAGCTTAACTTTATTCCCCAGACCCCACTCCTCTGGATTAATAATAGGTATCCTTTTCTTTTTATTATTATTATTATTTTAAATTTTTCTCTCTGAATTTTCTATTCAAGTGTTAAGTGCAGCAATCAATTCCAATGAAGTACTGAGAATACAATCTTACAGAATCCAGTGCTCTCTAATATGAAGCTACAGACCAATAATGCTATCTGAATTGCAGTATAGGAAGCATAAATTTTCTAGACACAATTAACATTTTCAAACATAACTCATATTCAGGGCTTTTTAGTGTAGGGATTTGTGCACTCAAATTTTCCTTTACAGGATCATTTTGAATAAAGTGCAGGCTTCTTCACTTCCATATGGAAATATTACACAACAGATTTAGAAGAACCCGTTTGGTTTGTTTAGTTTTTATTAGCGCCATATTGCACATCTGATGATCTTCAATTTGGAATGCAGATTTTCCTGTTATTCAAATTCAGGACAATAGGACGAGCTCAGGCCAGACATTTTTTTTTTTCCAACTGAAAAGAAAACATTTCATCTCTGTGAATGTTAATGTGTAGCTCTGCTCTTTCTAATTTGATTTTATTTCTTAGTTCTTCTCTTTTGGTTCCCTCAGGCTCAGTCTTAAAATTGTTTATCAACCACTGCTTACAATTACAATCGCTGTATATTCTAATAACATAATGAGGAAAGAGAAATAACATTCCCCAAGCTTGGGATTTATGTCAGCATGTGCCAGGAGGTCCAGATTTCATTGGGATTTAGTGAAAGTTTCCAGTGGAAGGATTCAGTGTTTTGAATGTTTCTCTGTTATTATTTTTTCTTCTAGTTAAAAGTTTCCCTAAGTCAGAGTAATTAATGTCAAATGCAGAAATGTTCTTAGGACTTTGATGGAATGTCAGGATTAAAATTCTATGATCTATTAACAGTGTGGCACAGAAATGAAGTGACTTGGTCAAAATTAAACCCAGAACAGTCTTCTTTCATTCCATAAATGTTTACTGGCAAATTGATAAATCAGGCATTACAGATCTCAAATGTGCAAGTGGACACGAGTAACAATTAGAAGATCTCTGACCTTCAGGAAGTGTGGAGTCTAGTGGGAGAAACAAACCTGGGATGTCTTTTATCCATCTCCAGGTAAACACACTGCAGTGTTATATGGCATTGGATATCATCTTACTAGATTCTAGTCAATTATCATCCAATTCATTTATTTCAGTTTGCAGCAAAATTATGTGGAGTCATTGATGCTGTCTTCATTTCTTGTCTTCCCATGGCAGGGAAGCTTTATCTCTTAACACTGCTAAAGGGTCTTATCAATTTTACCAATGACTTCCACTGTGCTAAATACAATTAATTTTTTTTCTGTTTTCACCCTATTAAACCTGTTAGCAGCATTTAACTAACTTTGTCTTTCTTTTTTCTTTAAATGTGTCAATTATTTGAACATTCAAATCCATCTGGCTAGCCATCTTCTGTCTACTTATCTCCCTTTTCCCTCATTCCCCTCATTCTTACTCCAAGTCCCCTCTGCTTCTCCTTCCTCACATCTCTGACCTCCAAATAATAAAGGGCAAAGGATTCAGTCCTTGAATCATATTCATTCTATGCTGATTCCCTATGAGCTCTCATCCGGCATTATTGTTCAATCACTCTACACAAAGGATACATAAAATTTTAGATTCAGATCTGGCCTCTCTTTCAAAGTAGATTTAAGAAGTATTGCAAACAAAGTATCTTCATGTCCAAACTCTTGAGTTCAATTTTCTATACCCAAACCTTCCAAAAATAAATAATAATAATAATAATAATAATAATAATAATAATGAAAAAGCTACTATTCTTTTTCCCCAGCTTGTCCAAAGCCATTCTACTCAACTAGTTGCCCTATATCATACATCTAATCCATTAAGGCAATGCTGCTGGATCCACTTCACCAGAAACCCAGAAACTCATTCCTTTCCACTACCACCCTTCTCAGTCTGGCCTACTATATTTGCTCTCCTAACTACCCTTTCTGTGTCCACCATCTTTTTACATAGAGAAATAACATCCTCAAACTTAAATCATACCTTCCCACTCCTTTGATCAGAGTTGTCTAATGACTCCCAACCTCACCCAAAGCAAAACCAAACAAACAAACAAAACCAAGCCTTGTTATGCCTTTCATTATCATGTGTGTTCTGGCTTTGGACTATCTCCCTGGGTGTACCCCGATTATCCCTACCCACTAGGTGCCCACTTCTCCAGATATGTTCTCCTCATTTTTGCTCTTTTAAACATGAAGTACACCTTCATATCAGAAAATTTTTACTTTATGTATTTTTTGTTGTTGTTGTTTGAAAAAAGCTCCATTGAATATTCACAGGGCTCTTTTCCTGACTGGCCTT